GGCTTGGAGCAACCTGGGCTAGTGGAAGGTGTCCCTGCCCACAGCAGGGGAGTGGAACTGGATGATCTTTGAGGTCCCTTCCAACCCAAACCATTCTGTGATTCTGCGATTGATTTCTTGTAGAACAACCCTGGTCGTCCGCCCCCGACACTGAGGGAGATGATCCAGATGGCTGCAGAGATTGCAGATGGCATGGCCTACCTGAATGCCAAGAAGTTTGTTCACAGGGATCTGGCAGCTCGGAACTGTATGGTCGCAGAGGACTTCACTGTGAAAATCGGAGGTGGATAGTGCAGGATTATAGATGATGTCTAAGGTCCCTTCCAACCCAGGCCATTTTGTGATTCTGTGATCACCAGATGATTCTGTGCATCACATTTGCTGAGAAGGCAAATGGATGAAGTCCAAAACCAATGTGGCAAACTTGGGTGATTCTCACTGGCCACCTTTGCAGCACTTTCTTCTCCTTGACAGAATTGAATGGATTTCAGTGAGAAAAACATCTTCTGCAGAACCAGAGCAGCTTTTCTCTGGGTGGTGAGGCCCTGGCACAGCTTTCCCAGTGAAGCTGTGGCTGCCCCACCCCTGGAAGTGTCCAAGGCTAGGTTGGATGGGGCTTGGGATAGCGGATGGTGTCCCTGCCCATGGCAGAGGGTGAGACTGGATGAGCTTTAAGGTCCCTTCCGACCCAAACCATTCCATGATTCTATGACATGAACCAGCCTGTTTCACTAGAAGGGAAATTAAACCAGTCTGACCCTTAAATCATGATTGCAGATTCAAGAGAAGGAAGTACAAATCGTTATTCCCAAACCTCTATCCAAAAGCTGCCTGAATTTATCTCACTGGTCTTTGCTTCCATGAGAATTATGACAAAGAAAGTGTTTGGTACAACAAACACAGTGTTGATAATCCCATCATTAGGTCAAGTGACTTTTAAAAGTCATTTGTCTTCCACAAGAAAGGTTTTTAACCCAAACCCTTGTGGAAATAAATAAACATAACATTTAAAAATAACCAAAACCCCCACAGTGTGGTGGTTTTTCAGAGCTCTCTGGAGGTAAAGCTAAGGCAGTGGGATTTCAGGCAAAGGGAGCTCTTTTTTCCCTTGCAGAGGACAAATAATATAATATTTAGAATAGAAACTGTCACTGAAAAATTTAACTCTGGAGTCTCTGTAGAAAAAATACAGGGAAGGGGAAATATTTTGAACATTAATCACAAGGTGCCAGATGACTGTAGGCAGGGCCGTGGGGGGAGTGTCACTGGGTGTGCGAGAACAGGGAAGGAAACATCCATCTGGAGGTGAGTAAAGCAGGATGGACGGAGCTATTTAACACATCCCAATTGCTTTTCCCAGACTTTGGGATGACCAGAGACATTTATGAGACGGATTATTACCGCAAGGGAGGCAAAGGGCTGCTACCTGTGCGCTGGATGGCCCCCGAGTCACTGAAGGATGGGGTTTTCACCACCTATTCTGACGTGTGGTAAGTTGTGTGCTGCAATCCCAGATGGATTCCAGCTCAGGAGCTCACTCTTTTTAACACACATAGTTTAAACTGACTTGTTCAGAGCACAGACAAAACAAAGCTGTTGTTTTGAAACCCTCTTGTTAAAAATATAGCGCTTTTGAAGTTTGTGTTCTCCAAAATAACTGTCGCTTGGAGAGCTCCGGGATGTTCTGTTCTCACCAGGAGTCTTCTTTCTTTCTCAGGTCATTTGGTGTGGTCCTTTGGGAAATAAGCAGTTTGGCAGAGCAGCCGTACCAGGGACTCTCCAACGAACAGGTGCTAAAGTTTGTCATGGATGGAGGATACCTGGATCAGCCAGACAACTGCCCGGAGAGGCTGTAAGTGCTGAACCAGGGACAGTCAGCCAGGCTGCACTCCTGGGCCAAAGTGTGGCCAACAGAGGTGGCCCCACCTGTGGCACCTCTTAACCCCTCCTTGACTGGGGAGGAGCAAAATAGACTTTAGGGGAGGCACCGCCCACAGAAATTCCACTGACAGAGATTACACAGGGTGGTGAGGCCCTGGCACAGGTTGCCCAGAGAAGCTGTGGCTGCCCCATCCCTGGAAGTGTCCAAACCCAGGTTGGACAGGGCTCAGAACAACCTGGTCCGGTGGAAGGTGTCCCAGCCCATGGCAGGGGGGTGGAATGAGATGGTCTTTAAGGTCCTTTCCAACCCAAACCATTCTAGGATTCCATGATTCTGTGACGTGAGCCAGTGTGTTTCAATGGCAGGGAAATTAAAATAGCCAAGGCCTTGCATCGTGAGTGCAGATGCAAGAGAACGAAGTACAAAGCAGAGGAAAAACTTAAAATACAGATAAGCACTGGGTCAATGGCCCAAAGAAAATGTTCTTCCTCCACTCCATGCCGGTGGATGGCAGTTGACTCATGTCACGTGGCAGTGGTGGCCACCACCTTCATTCAGGTGGCTACAGAGGCCAGAGAGGAGCTTCTCCTTTCTCCAAGGTCTGATGAGGTTTTCTGTAATTCTCTCCATAAATAGTGTGGAGAATTACAGCTTTTTGCCACTGATTTTCACAAATGCGTTTTGTGGCTAATGAGGAGGAGAAGCAGGGGAATGCTGTGCTGAGCCATGAGCTATTTATCCTGCCTGAAGCCATTTCATTTCTCATTGCCCCATTGAAGGGATGAGGCCAGGCTGCCTGCAAGGTCAGGGAGAAGAGATCACTGAGGGAGGCAGTGAGAAACACCTCAAAGAGGTTACAGACTGCAGCCAGACATTCCCTGTGTCGAGGTCAAGGGTTGTTCTTTGCAGCTGCTCATGATCTTTGCTGTCTGGAGGTTCCTGCATCCCAGGTCTGCCGGCACGGCCCAGGAGCTCCCTGAATGGCTGCTCTCAGAGTAATTAAAAAAATCCCCTTAATGAGCATTTAACCTGAGCTGGGGCATTTGGAAAGAAGGGTGTGTCAAAAATAGTGTGGCAGCAGGACCAGGGCAGTGGTCGTCCCTCTGTGCTGAGCACTGGGGAGGCCACACCTCGAGTGCTGTGTGCAGTTCTGGGCCCCTCACCCTAAGAAAGACATAGAGGGGCTGGAGTGAGTCCAGGGAAGGGAATGGAGCTGGAGAAGGGGCTGGAGCACCAGGAGCAGCTGAGGGAGCTGGGGGGGCTCAGCCTGGAGAAAAGGAGGCTCGGGGAGGACCTTCTGGCTCTGCAAGGCCCCGACAGGAGGGGTGAGCCGGCGGGGGTGGTGGTAGTTGGGCAAGAGGAAATGGCCTCAAGCTATGCCAGGGGAGGGGCAGGTTGGACATCAGGAATGATTTCCTCATGGCAAGGGTGGTCAGGCATTGGAAGGGACTTCCCAGGGAGGTAGTGGAGTCCCCATTCCTGGAGGTGTCCAGAGAAGGACTGGATGTGGCACTAAGTGCTCTCAGCTGGGTGACAAGGTGGGCATTGGGTACAGGTTGGACTTGATGATCTCAGAGGCCTTTTCCAACCTAAACGATCCTGGGATTCTGTGTAAGGAGTCACACTGGAGCAGTGGTGAGGGGAAGGAGCCTTGGCTGGAAATGGGAGTACAGATGGTAACTCGCTGGTTCTGGTAACCTCTTCCCACATCTGCTTCTGGCCAAAACAGCACTTCCAGAGTCATAAAATAAACATGTTTTGCGAGTATCCCTATGAAAAAAGCCTACTGTGCTGGACATCTGTCTCATGTCCAGTTACAAACTCCAGTTTGAAATTCTATTTGTATTTGTAAGTTCTTTCTCCATGGTGTCTGATAACATGTGACCTCTTGCTGCAGCCTTTCTTTTGGGTGGGATATTTACAGCACGTCTGTCCTCTGCCCAGCCTCTTATTTTCCTTGAAATTTTAGGAGCTTTGTTGTCTTTCAGGCTGAGTTAAAATTAAAATAGAATTAATTAAAAAGCTATGAACTGGCTGTAAGGGCATGCACGCACACACACACAGAGTCTGTGAACCACAGCCCTGTTTCCTTCAGAAGCCGAGTTAAGAACAATTGAAGGAATTGGAAGGAATTTTTGATCTAGACAGAAATAGAGAAAAAGGACTGTCAGGATCTACAGGCAGTGTGGAGGCTGGAAAGAAAACAAACAGCTCGGGGTGTCAGAGGGTGGGTGGTCTGCCACGGATACCAGCCTTGGTTGGTACATGGAATTGTCGCTTCCTACCCCTGACTCTGGTTCTCCTGCTCCAGGCACAACCTGATGCAGATGTGCTGGCAGTACAACCCGAAAATGCGGCCCACCTTCATCGAGATCATCGAGATGCTGAAGGAGGACTTGCACCCCAGCTTCCACGAGGTCTCCTTCTTCTACAGCGAGGAAAACAAACCTCTGGAGACGGAGGAGTACGAGATGGACTTTGAGAACATGGAGAGCATTCCCCTTGACCCCTCCTCGTACTCCCAGAGGGACAAAGCGCTGGGGAGGGACAATGGACCCTCCATGGCCCTCAAGGGGAACTATGAGGAGCACATACCTTACACTCACATGAACGGTGGCAAGAAAAACGGGCGGATTCTCTCTATGCCCAGGTCAAGTCCTTCCTAACACTTCCTGTTGGGCCCCAGGGTTCTGTCTGCTTTTCCCCCCCCTCCACAAATCTCAGGACTCTTGTTATTGCTGCCACAGTGTATGACAC